AAGGGCCGAGGCAAGGACAGATATTCTTGAGCAACAAAACTAGGTAGCAAAACCAAACGAGATCAAGGCCATATCTGCCAAGCTTGCACTCGCATATCAAGCGCAACCTTGAACATGGTACTTGGGCGGTGGCATGGCGAAGCCGTGAAAGGGCGGGTTTGGTGGCAAAATGATGTTCAAATTGCCGGAAGCAAAATCGGACTTGCACAACCGTGGAGCCCATATGGGCACAACTTTGCGCAGATTATTGAGCCAACGTAAGGGATACTTGAGCAGCGGCCAAACCGCCACCATCCCCAAAACAGGTCGCCTTTGAACAAGGGACACCAGGGAACCCTACGAGGGATGGGGCCCTTAACACGCTAGACTGTAGCAAGCGCGCAAGTTCCTCGGGAATCATGCTTGCAGTGTATGCAAAACGTGCCAGGCTTAACCGTGCGTACTACTCGAGTGGCAAAATGATGCGCGATCTGCTCAAATTGCCAGAACCGAGATCTGACACACACAACTGTGGAGCCCAAACGGGCAAAGCTTTGTGCGATGCATTGAGCTTGATTGAGCCAAAGTAGGGCAAGGTTGAGCCGTGGCCAAAACTGCCACCATCCCCAAGACAGGTCACCCTTAAACAAGGGACACGCCGGAACCCTACGACGGGGGGAGGGGGGGGGGCTTGTCAGGCAATACTGTAGCAAACACGCAAGTTACCATGCCTGCAATGTGTGCAAAAAACAAGTAAAACACACGCCGGCGCCAAAGCCAGTGCGGAACAAGTAAAAACCAACCCACGCGCACACACACACACACACACACGCACACACACACACACAGACAAGCACACACACACACGGGCGCGCACACACACACACACAAACACAGACAAGCGCACACACACACACACGCACGCACACACACACACACACACACACACACACACACACACACACACACACACACACACACACACACACACACACACACACACACACACACACACACACACACACACACACACACACACACACACACACACACACACACACACACACACACACACACACACACACACACACACACACACACACACACACACACACACACACACACACAGACACACACACGCACCGACACGCCCACACATGCGCGCCAAAAACAGTCGGACAAACGCACAAGCGCAAAAGATGCGCCTCTGCTTGCGTGTGCGCAACGGCATGCGGCTGCAAAACCATCAGGCTACAGTAAATCAACTTTTGCAAAGAAGGTCGCACATGCGTGAGTCAAACCATAATCCGCTGTCATGAAAACAGCGGTAACCAAACTAAGGCCATCATCAAGCGAAACGTTGCTCAGCTCAGGGGTGAGTTCCATCCGGATAAAATTAAAACCGGAGTCAAACCACAACATTGCGCCAAACGTTGCAAGTGCCTGTCGAGCTGTTGAGCGCAAGTGACGAAAAATCATGCGGCAGTCAAGTGGCTGAAAATCAGGCAAAAAACCACGCAAAAATCAAGCTGCAGTCAAGGTCACACATTGACAACTGCTCACAACAAACTGAAAAGAGGCCTTCTTTTCTTATGGCAAATCGTAACGTTGGTGAAGCGAAAGGCTAAACTCTTTGGAAACGCATGAAACTAAACACAATACATCTGGAGCTCACGTACGGGCAGTGGTCCTCTTTGGCATGATAGCTGCAAATCCCTGCAACTGGGTCATATGTGTTCGTAGCCCAGCGCTGGTCTGATCTCCCGCGCACAATGTCGAAGAAGAATGTTGCAGTGTGTTCGCACAGAATGCCTCCGTGATGAATTGTCAAGTGATAGTTCTGCCTTCCATGTCCTACACCCAGAGCGGCAACATCTCGTGTCTTGGTCAAATCTGAAAACTTTTGGGCCAACAAAATAGTTCTCTGCAACGAATCTTCCAGGTGGTGTGGTTCCGGCCCTCTTGCCACCGATGCCCTGCAGTAGAACGTACTTACTGGAAGCCACGATGGGTCCCTAGAATCAACTGCGCTTGGGCGCACGAGGCCGTCACGCAAAACCCCAGTTGCAGACAGTCTGGTCAAATTGTGCGCAAATGTAACCCGAAGCTTGATTGTGTGGTTTCCAGAGGCTGGGTAATCTTCTAAAGGGCATAACCACGCAACCACTGCCAATGGGGTATGGCGATCATCTGTAATGGTATCCCTCAGGAGTGTAATGTTGAAAAATTTGGCCGAGTTGCTTTCATGACCACAGAACACATCAGCAAGCGCCGAGATACCCTGCTTGATATGATCATAAGCATCTGGCCGCAATGCTGACAAATCAGGCTGTAACTGCTCCAAGAGAAATAAAGCAAATCTTTCAGTGACGCACTCCAACTCCCTGCCCGTTTGAAACCGCGTCTGGGAGAGAAGAAACTCTCATTGGGCTCAGCATGTTCCTGAATGAAAACCACGGCACCCACGTCATGTGCGTTGGAAACTCTGTATGGGCAGTATGCCAAGTTCACTCGCTCTTGAAGCAAAACTTCATATATAGCGTCCCATCGAATGTTGGATGCGGACGTAGCAGTGTCGCGAGAGGCTTCGGGTCCAAGAAGGGAGCGTTCTAGGTGGGACAAACCGATTGGGACAAAAATAGTGGGTCAACTGAAATGGGGAGCTTCACGGACGTTCTCTGGAAAGGGAAAGGGATAACGTCGGGGCAAAGGGAGGTCCAATTTCCAAGTGACCAAAAGATGAGCTCCCGCCGCATCCTGAAAATCCAAGTGCTTGCGGAAGAACTGGCGGTTGTGGCAGAGTCCCTGGGTGTACTGATGTATATGAGGGGTCACCATTGTTCTGCAGCTGGGTGCTAAGCATTGTGAAACACGTGGCAAATGGGAGGTAGCCTGCCGGGTCTGTGATGTTCAGTCGAAATTCTGTTCGTTCCTGGCCTTCCCCTCGAATAACGCTGAACACGATACCAGTGGAATCAGGCTCTCGGGGTGTCCTTTCACGATCTGAATTATTTCCAGTGGAAGACTTTGTGGTAGGGCGCTCCTCTCTGGCCGAGGAATAGGAGTCCAGATGAATTTTGAGGCTCCGCAGCCGAAGTTCTAAGGTCAAGACTCTGTGGCGCAATACCCCTTGCCGGCCGAAGAATAGAAATCCCAGAAGAATATGTAAGGTCAAGATGCTGTGGAATAGCACCCCCCACCGGCCGACCAGTTGGCATATCACGCCGGGGAACAGCCGGAGCTGCTTTGATCGTGGCACCAGGTTCTATCCACGACATGGCCCCAAAGGAACTAAAGCAAAGCTAACTTCAAAAGTACAAATCCCAGTCCGCAATACGCCAACCAAACAAAACAAGCATATCCCATCAAGTCGGCTGTGACAACACAACCTTCAAGCGGTTCAACCAGTCAGCTCGAGCTGAAAAGAGCGTCAAATCTTGAAAGGTGTATCCTGTTTCCTGAACATTGGAGAACAAAAAACGGGAAGTTTGGGCGGTAAACCTGCAACACTGAATTTCCCGCGCAAACTTGCCTCGGTGAAGTGACGTGACGAGACTCAGTCACTAGTTAAAAAGGAAACCCACGTGCACGTTGTTTTCGCACAGCGGAGTAAGGTTGGCACGAACCGCGAAGGTCTTCGCGACATGGTGCGCTTGGCCAAAAGGCGTGAAATCCGAGGACACGAATGCCACCCGAAGGTTAACTTCGCCGTTAGGCCTGTATTCAGAGTTCAGGTGTAATTTGCCGCGGAGGCTGATTTGGCAGCACGCCAGATTCGGTTCGCGTTACGCTCTTCTTCCACATGCCCCCGGAGGTCACGCGCTATACACTGGCCGGAACCAGCATTCTGGACGCCCGCCTAGGCAGACGGACGGTGTCGCCACATCAGGCGTGCACCCAAGCCGCAAAGGGCGCACACAGGTGAATCGATGGAGGGTGGGGAAGACTGGAAAACGACGTTCACGCCTGGGCCCAAACCTTAGCGATCAACGCAGGAAGCGACGACGTCGTCCTCACCTTAGTCTAAGCCTTGGTCATTAGGCGATGTTTGTAAGCGCTCATGAGGCGATGTTTTCAAGCGCTCAGGGCGCTGTGGTTTCAAGTCAAAAACCGCCAACATCACGCACGAAAACTAGCTTATCACATCTTGAGCAGGTACGTTCTCAGGACGTCTCCCGAGAATATCTGTGCCAAATCAGAGCCGCTTCGTTGGGCAACCACTCTGATAGGCAGGTTGCCCCCCTGCTCGTGACAAACGGATGGGTATGAGCGCCCAACCTCAGCAAGGAAACGTTTTGGGATGGGGTTCCTTAGTCAAGCACCGTCGTCAAATATGAGCACGTATCCACGACCATGCGCGCATGAGCTAGTGCGTTACACACACACACCACACACACACACCACACACACCACACACACACACACCACACACACACACACACCACACACACACACCACACACACACACACACCACACACACCACACACACACACACCACACACACACACACACACCACACACACACACACACCACACACACACACCACACACACCACACACACACACACCACACACACACACACCACACACACCACACACACCACACACACACACCACACACACACACCGCACACACACACACACACCACACACACACACACCACACACACACACACACCACACACACACACCACACACACACACACCACACACACCACACACACACACCACACACACACACACACACACACGCACCACACACACACACACACCACACACACACACACACACACCACACACACACACACCACACACACCACACACACCACACACACCACACACCACACACCACACACCACACACACCACACACAGACACACACCACACACACACACATTTTTCGTGGTTCCCCCCCCCATTTTAACGCCCGGAACAAATGCCCACCAATACCCACGCCAAATCCCCCGCGTTTCGTTCGGGTTCCGCGCGGCGCGTTCCGCGTGAAAGGTTCGGAGTGCGCCTTGTTGCAGCGGGTGAGGTCCAGCACCTTGAGCGACATCGCGCGGCCCACCAGGCGCTGCAGCGTCTCGTCCGTGAGCAGCTTGCAGCCGCTGAAGCACAGCTCCTCCCGAAAAAACGACAGACGGCCATGGAGGTCGGAGCCAGCTGAGATATGGACCCGAGATGAGCTGCATATATGTCTGATACTCTGGATGGACGAAATCCATTTCGCACCACTTTGAAACCAGATTGAAACCATGGTTCCCTGGTATTTACAAGAGAATGATCAGCAACCGGTGCTTCTTAGGTGGATTTCGTCCATCCACAGTATGGACCCAAGATGCGCTGAATATATTTGTCTTCCCCAAGTAAGTCAACCCCATTATTGGGGATGATATGCGGTGGGTCTGAGTTTGGTCCCTTTGATCCTCGGCATATTCTCGTGTAAGGTGCTCGGCTCCTCTTTTTCGTGGTTTTCTGAATGGATTTAGGGATCCCTGGATGATTTTCTGATCCCTCAAAGGAAACTGCAAGGGATGGTTTGGGGTCATTCCCTCATTTCCCGTGAGAACTGGCAAGCTTTTGCGTGCGGGGGTTTTTCAAGTGATGCATCACTCCGTCAAAACGAACCTCAGCAGCATTGGTCCAACCAGTGATGTTCAAAATGGGACCAAATGGATTCCTGCAGAAATGCGGCGCCCCTGACGTAAGGTGTGTGGATCCGGCGTTTCTATGTGTCCGTTGCCAAGAATATCTAGCGGCCGGAGGTGTCCCCTCGATAGTTTCGGCAAACAAAACCGGCCTACGCGAAGCCGGGAAAAACAAAAAACCTCTGGACGTTCTACTGAAAAAAAAAAACAAAAACATCTGGGAAAAAACAAAAACAAAAACATCTGGAAACGGGGGGGGCATTGGGTGACCCCTCTCCTACCGAAGGTTTGCAACAAGTTTGGCCGTCCGCGTGGGGAAAGCGCGGTGAAGGCAAAGGCTTCGAAGGTCAATTCCTTTGAACCCTGGAGAGGGAGAGGGGACGTTCCATCGGATGGATGTTTAAGCCACCCATTCAGAATATGGCATCCTTTGCGCAACATGAGGTTTCAAGAGGTGATGCTTAAGCCAGCTGAAAGGCAAGGTCGATGCTTCAGCCTCCCCAGACAGCAATGCTTAAGCCGACTAGATCGGGAAGTTCTTCCCAGATGCATACCCTCCCAAAAACAAACATGCAACCTGAACGGGGCCTCCTGGAAGACACAGTCTCCAACAGAACAGGGACCCTCATTTGCCTGCCAGTGGAAAGAATGGCACTCTTTGTATCTGGTAGTTCCGCCGGCCCCGCTGCTCACCTCCGCCACCCCCTTCACCCCCCCCCGGCCGCTGCAATGGGAGTGTGTGTTTTATTTTATTTTTCTGGTGGCTCACTTGTTCAAAGGCTTGAAAAGGAACACACACACACACACAAGCAAACAAACACACACACACACAAACAAACAAACAAACAAACAAGCAAGCAAGCAAGCAAGCAAACAAACAAACAAAATCACACACCCCTTTTCCCCAGTGCCTGGGTTAGGACAAACCCCACCCCAGCCGTCGCCTGCAGCCGGCCGCAGGGCTGCGCCCGCAGCACCTTGCCCAGGCCCAGGTCGGTGACCTCCGCCCAAACCGGGCAAAACATGTCTCTCACTTCCCAGAGGCTCCTGGCTCTTTCAATGGAAGACCCGACCCCTCCATTGGACACCTCCGGGTGTGGGGTCTCAAAACCTGGCTGTTTGAGGAGTGGATTGGCCAAAACCAGTCTGAAAAACGTCACATGCCACCGGAATGGTGTTCCCAAAAAGTCGTTCAAGTCCAGGAAATCTGGATTTGAGGGGAAGATGTGTTTGTCATAGCTTCTTTGGCTTGAGTTGATTCGACATATCTTGTGAATATGCTGGATTCTTTCTGCTCCGCACACTTTGGGTTTGATCACTGTTCTTCCACTAAGTTCCCATTTTAAGGGACATCCTGTGGCGAGCGTGCACTTTGAAGCCATCCCTTCTGAGACGTTCCTGTACATCCCTTGAGGCTGGCGCTGGCCACTCGGTCGCTGGGAAAATCGAAGTGTCAAAATGGAGGGACCCTCAAAATGGCCAGGTCTCATGCTCATTTGGCTGGTCAAAAATAGGGTAACCCCAAAATGGGTTGCCCTGTAAATGGAAACATGGACTAAAACTTGCGGTCTAGAAGCTTTATTTTGACCCACACCCATTTTGGTGTCCGTTCAAACCAGCCAAATGCCACACAAAGAAAGAAACATACTGTCGATTCCCTGAACAAAAAAGGGGAACCACACCCAAATCGCCGATCCGCCGATTTTTTCCGCGCTCGCGCGATGGTTTTTCCTGGGCTGTCCTTGGATATCCCGCACAAAGTGACCAACTCTCAGTGGGTTAAATGGAAACCCAGCCACTAAACACTAAGAATCATTTAAACAGCAAAGGAGCCGGACAATAGGGGAGCCTTAAAGTACCCACCTCCGGGGAACCAAAACGTCCACCGCAAGCTAAGGAACCGGATGGGAAAGCTTCGGCCTTGACGTTCCAGTAGATGCTGAAGCTCCGCAGGCCCCGGCAGCGCTGCGCCACTGCAGCCAGGCCCTGGCTGAGACTTTTTGTTAATGATCCAGGGACCCGGGGCCCGGTGAAGCAGTCCAAGGACCGAGCCCCAAGGCAGGTGAAGCAGTCCAAGGGAAGCCCTCTGATCGCCTCCCCCCCCCCCAAAAAAAAAATTACACCAGCAGAGACCCCAAACAGTTGAGGGCTGACGGGCGAGCACAAACATGCCAACAGCTTGTGGCTTTCTGCGCTTCAACACGGATGAATCAAAATGATGCAGTCGTGAACCTGGCGCGCGTTGCGTTGCTGCACGTGTGTTGCTGGCGTGCTTCGCGCTTCAGCACCGCGCCAGAACTGAGGTTGGGCAAGCGCGCGCGATGGCGGGCGAGCGCGCGCGCGTGAACGCAAGTGTGGCCGCGCAAGCACGCAGTCACATGGGCAGTTCAAACACACATGTCCAATTCAGACACACATGTGTGTACACGTGGAACACACATACGTATACGACTGAAACAGTATACATTCACCTGCGGCACACGCATAAATGTGTTGAGCTGGAAAACAAACATGTGCTTCTTGGAAAGCACACACACACATGTGCAAACGTGGAACGCACATATGTGTTCACTTACGACACGCTAATGCGTTCACGTGGAACACACATGTGTGTTCACTTGGAACACAATGAAACGCGTGTCCAATTCAGACACACATGTGTGTACACGTGGAACACACATGCGTTCACCTGGAACACAAAGACGCGCAATTAAAGCACACATGTGTGTACGCGTGGGACACACATATGTATACCACTGGAACACAAACATGTGTCCACCTGGAACACCGCGTGTGCGATTAAAGCACACATGTGTGTACATGTGGAACACACATATGCGCACACGTGAGCAAACATAAATGCTCACCTAAATCGCACACACATGCGCGCACCTCGAAAACAATCATGCGTTTTCTGGAGCGCATACATGTGCACACCTGGAGAGCAAATATGTCGTCAGATGCCAAAAAAAGTTCACCTAGCACATACTAATGTGTTCACGTGAAACACACATCTGTTCACCTGGAACACAAACACGTGTCCAATTGGAACACACATGTGCGTACACGTGGAACACACATATGTGCACACGTGAACACGCATATGTGCACACGTGAACACTCACATATATGTGCACCCGGAACACACACCCGTGTGCTCATCTGATAACAACCATGTGTTCTCCTGGAACACAAACACGTGTCCAATTGGAACACGCATGTGTGTACACGTGAACACACATATGTGTACACGTGGGAGACGCAAATGCGCACACGTGAACACACACACACACACATGTGCACACGTGGAACACACACATGTGTACTGCACATGTGAACACACACATTTATGCGCGCGCGGAAAACACAGACACACACAGTTCATCTGATAACAAACACGTGGTCTCCTGGAACACAACGGTGTGTCTAATTGGAACACAACCGTGTGTACACGTGAACACACATATGTGTACACGTGAACACACACATATATATATATATATATATGCGCACCCGGAACACACACACACACGTGCGTTCATCTGAAAACAAACATGTATTCACCTGAAACACAAACACGTGTCCAATTGGAACAAACATGTGTGGACACATGAACTCACAAATGTGTACATGTGGAACACACATATGTGTGCAAATGAACACACATACATGCGCACGCGGAGCAGACACACACACACACACACACACGCGTTCATCTGATAACAAACATGTGTCCTCCTGGAACACAAACACGTGTCCAGTTGGAACGCACATGTGTGCACGCGCGAACACACAATGTGTGCCGTGAACACACATACAAAAAAGTGCACGCGGAGCAGACACACACGCACGTGTTCATCTGATAACAAACATGTGTTCTCCTGGAACACAACCGTGTGTCTAATTGGAACACAGACGTGTGTACACGTGAACACACATATGTGTACACGTGCAACACGCATATGTGCGCACGTGAACGCACATATGTGTACATGTGGAACACACATATGTGCACACGCGAACACACACACATATATATATATATATATATGCGCGCCCGGAACACGCACACACACACACACATGCGTACACCTGGAACACATATGTGTGTATGTCTGGAAAGCACATTTCTGTTCACCTGCAACACACATATGTGTTCACCTGGAACCCATATATGCGCTCACTTGGAACAGGCATTTGTGTTCACGTGCGACACTGGTGCAGACCTGGATCACACAAGCATGTTTAACCAGAACAAACTTCTGTGTTGACTTGTAACACACATATGTGTACACATGGAACACACGTGTGTGCACATGTGGAGAAACATGTGCAACACAAATGTGCAACACACATGCATTCACCTGGGCAACAAAAATGTGTTCGCATGGACAAATCAAGTTCCCGAAGCCAACTGTGAGGCGCTATTCCATGGGGCTCTGCCTTGAACAACGCTTGTGTTTTATATGCATGTCCCAAGTAGGAAAATAGTGTTCGTGTACGATCAATCAAGCTTTTTTGCAACATGTTGCTAGCGTGCGAGCCTGCTGCTGCTGCTGCTACTACTGCTAGTACTATCAGTATCGGATGCGTCTCCAGCAGTTACAGGCTTCAGCTTAGCAAAAGCTTTCCGGCGCATTGCGCTTCTTTCTCGCTTAGCTGCACAGTGTCTTTCGTATCGATTGCTAAAGTGCTTTGATCGTATTGTGGCAACTCTTCGTATCGATTCAGTAAAGCATTTGCTTTCGCAGGGAAATACGCAACCCAATTCTTCCGTATGCTCGGTACAAGGCATCCCTGCCGTCTTGCCTCAGCCGTTGTTTCTCCCCTTTGTCCAGCAAATCGCACTCCATGATAATTGCATGCGAGGAGAGCGGAAGCAAATTTGGATTGAAGCGTAACTGGGAACCGGTCACAGCTGACCACTGCGCTAGCGCCTTGCTAGCGCGCGGCTAGCGCGGGTTCGCCGTATTTTTTGGAGTCACGGCGACCATCTGTGTGGATTTGACAAATTAAGGCCACGTAAGATGAAGGTAAACGTGCGGGCTGGCTTCAAGTACTAAGTAAGAACTGCAACATTACACCCTTGAAAGCCACGCAAAGCCCATCGCGGCAACCCACGCGCCAACTCTTGGAAACCAAGATCACCGAAGACCCTAGCGCAAACCAAGCGCCATCCTAGCGCCTCCAGTGGGGAGCGGGCAATCCATTGGTATTTGCAGGACTCCGCTTTGTGTGAATGAAAAACTGCACAAAGTGACTGCGACGGTGGCCTCTGTAGACTAAACCCCCTTACTAGGAATTTTGACCGGATCGCATATGTGTTTTATCAGAACAATCGCATGCTTTCACCTGGAACACAAACATGTGCTGACGTGGAACACACTCATGTGGTCACATGCAAAAAGTGCGTGTTCACTTGGAACGCGCCGATGTGGTCAGCTGGAACACACCAAGAACACACAATCATTTACTTGAAGCACTCGTACGTGCATCCGCAGCATGCTGCCTGTGGCTTGATCAAGCGCACGCGCGCGCTCAAACACACGTTTCTGAGCCTCAAACACACATGCGTGCCCGCGGAATACACCGCGAATGACCAGGGAGCCGTGCCAGGCATCCAGGCTGGGGGACAACAAGAAGGAGACAAAGGGAGACAAATGAACCCGTCCGCCCGGAGAGCCGTGCCAGACATCCAAGCTGGGAGACAAACGAATCCGTCCACCCAGAGAGCCGTGACAGGCATCCAGGCTGGGAGACAACCGGGGCCAAATAAAGGGAGACAAAGGGAGACAAATGAATCCGTCAGGCAAATGGAGGGAGAGGGAGACAAATGAACCCGTCCGCCGGGAGAGCCGGGACAACCCCAGGTGCCAAGAGCACCACTGGGTATCTCGGCGTAAGGTTCGTTGAACATCCTCGAAGAATCGATAGAGGATTTAACTCCAGCGTGATTCACGTTTGTTTCACCGGGGGGTTAACAGAGCCTTCTCGTAGCTGAAGCCGTGCACCGCAGCGCACCGCTATCGTCAGCTCGGGACCGCAACTGATAACGAGGCACTGAACGAACAGACAGGGTGTAGCCAACGATAGACAAGGAAGACGACCCACCACGAGCCCAAGCGAAAGCGAAGTCCAGATGAAGGGCAGACAGAGGACCCTGTCCCCAACATCCACAAGACAAGGAATGACCGAAGCCAGGGCCGAAGCCGAAGGCAAACCAGACCCCGCCAAAAGGACAGAACCGCGGGAAGTGAAGGAAACCGCGGAGCGTGAGTGCCACACATCCAGGCTGGGAGACAACGGGAGACAAATGAATCCGTCCACCCAGAGGGGCATCCAGGCTGGGAGACAACGGGAGACAAACAAAGGGAGACAAAGGGAGACAAATGAATCCGTCCACCCAGAGAGGCATCCAGGCTGGGAGACAACGGGAGACAAATAAAGGGAGACAAAGGGAGACAAATCAATCCGTCCACCCACAGAGATGGGAGACAAATGAAGGGGAACCAAGGGAGACAAGTGAATCCGTCCGCCTGGAGAGCCGTGACAGACATCCAGGCTGGGAGACAAGGGGAGCCAAATGAAGGGAGACAAAGGGAGACAAGTGAAACTGTCCACCCAAAGAGCCGTGCCAGGCATCCAGGCTGGGAGACAACGGGAGACAAATGAAGGGAGACAAAGGGAGACAAGTGAATCTGTCCGCCTGGAGAGCCGTGCCAGACATCCAGGCTGGGAGACAACGGGAGACAAATGAAGGGAAACAAAGCCCAGAGAGCCGTGCCAGACAAATGAAGGGAGACAAAGGGAGACAAATGAACCCGTCCACCCAGAGAGCCGTGCCAGGCATCCAGGCTGGGAGGCAACGGGAGACAAATGAAGGGAGACAAAGGGTGACAAATGAACCCGTCCACCCAGAGAGCCGTGCCAGGCATCCAGGCTGGGAGACAACGGGAGACAAATGAAGGGAGACAAAGGGAGACAAA